GCGCTCTCCCGTCGGCGTCTTCTGTCTCCCCAACGCAGGCAGAGATCCTCCTCCTTGGCCTCCTTCTTCTCCTCTCCCGCCAGCACCCTAGTATGTGCACAAGCATATCCGCAATTAGCCAGAGCAGCAGCACCTGGACCCATCAACTCACCTGACACTAATCTCCTGAGCTCTGCCCCACACCTCTCTCCCCTGCCCTTCACCTCCAACCACACCCATCTCCACATACCCCCACCGCCTGACTTAGGCCGGGGAGCCGTCCGGCCTAACCTACTGCCCCCCCCGCCCCCCATGGGAGCGGGAGAGAAAGTCAGCCACAGCCATCTGCGCCCCCGGTCTATGGACTACTTTGAATTGGAAGGGCTGCAAAGCCAGATACCACCGAGTGATGCGGGCGTTGGTATCTTTCATGCGGTGAAGCCATTGGAGAGGTGCATGGTCTGAACAGAGGGTGAACGGGCGCCCCAGCAGGTAATACCGCAGAGCAACGACCGCCCACTCCTTTTCAACTGTGCTGTACCTCAATTCTCTCTCGGACAGCTTCCGGCTGATATAAAGGACTGGGCGGTCGACACCCTGCACCTGCTGAGACAAAACCGCTCCTAGCCCTCTGTTCGACGCATCCGTCTGCAGAATAAAAGGGAGAGAGAAGTTAGGTGTGTGGAGTAGAGGCTCCCCACAGAGGGCCCGTTTCACACCCTCAAACGCCAGCCGACACTGCTCCGTCCACTGGACCGGATCTGAGGCACCCTTTCGGGTGAGGTCAGTCAGGGGGCTAGTCAGGTCTGCAAAGGCTGGAATGAACCGCCGGTAGTAGCCCGCCAGCCCCAAGAACTGCCTCACCTCTTTTTTAGTCTTGGGCTCTGGGCAGGCCGCAATTGCTGCAGTCTTAGCTACCTGAGGACGCACCTGCCCACAGCCCAAGTGGTAACCCAGATACCGTACCTCCCTCCATCCAACCGCACACTTCTTTGGGTTGGCGATGAGCCCCGCTTGCCTCAGTGACTCGAGCGCCGCAGCCACCCGATGCAGATGCTCCGCCCAGCTGTTACTGTGGATAACATCATCCAAGTAGGCGGCAGCATATGCAGCGTGCGGACGCAGCATTCGGTCCATGAGGCGTTGGAAAGTGGCCGGGGCGCCAAACAGCCCAAAAGGTAGTGTTGCGAATTGGTACAAACCGTACGGAGTGGGGAAGGCCATTTTTTCCTTAGACACTGGCGACAAGGGAATCTGCCAGTAGCCCATGGTCAAATCCAGCGTCGTAAAAAAGCAAGCCGTGCCCAGCCGATCCAGGAGTTCGTCGACCCAGCGCATTGGGTATGCATCAAACTGTGAAACCTCATTCACCTTGCGATAGTCCACACAGAACCGAATAGACCCATCCTTCTTGACAACCAGAACAATGGGACTACACCAGGCACTGTTGGACTCTTCTGTTACCCCCAGCTTCAGCATTGCCGTCAATTCCTCCAAAACCACTTTTCTTTTGTGTTCTGGTAATCGATAGGGCCGTGAACGCACAGTCACGCCCGGGCGAGTCTCAATATGGTGCTGTATGAGGTTCGTGCGTCCCGGTAGGGGGGAGAACACATCAGCAGAACGCTGTTGCAGCCTGGCAACATCTGCTCTCTGGGCCGGTGTGAGATGGTCGTCACAAAGAAACGAGGCAAGATTGTTAGACTTAGGAACCTGTGGCCCCAACTCATCTCTTTCCTGCACCGTCGACACCAGAGCAACAGGCTCGGCCTCTCTCCAGGCTTTGAGGAGATTGAGGTGGTAAACCTGTGTTGCCCCGCCCCTATCAGAACGCACAACCTCATAGCCGACATCACCCACTTGCCGTGTGACCACAAAGGGTCCTTGCCACTTGGCGAGTAATTTGGAGCTGGAAGAAGGGAGCAATACAAGCACTTTTTCTTCCGGTGTAAATTGTCTCAATCTAGTTCCTCTGTTGTACAGGCGCTGTTGATGCTCCTGGGCCCTGAGCAAATGCTCCCGTGACAATTGCCCAAGTGTGTGTAGTTTTGCTCTAAGGACCAGGACGTACTGAACTTCGTTTTTGCTCGGGCTTGGACCTTCCTCCCAGTTTTCTTTAACCAGGTCCAGAACCCCACGTGGTTTTCTGCCAAACAGCAGTTCAAAGGGAGAAAATCCCATTGAGGCCTGGGGTACCTCCCACACTGCAAACAACAGAGGATCTAGCCACCTATCCCAATTGCGGTGATCATCGTGCACAAACTTACGGATCATGGACTTCAAGGTTTTGTTCAGACGCTTGACCAGACCGTCGGTCTGAGGGTGGCACACACTCGTCCGAATTGACTTGATGCCCAATAATCCGTACAGTTCCTGTAGTGTGCGTGACATAAACGAGGTGCCCTGGTCAGTCAGGATCTCCTTTGGGATCCCAACCTGGGAGATGACCTGAAACAGCGCCTGTGCAACACTCTTTGCAGAGATGGTACGCAGAGGCACCGCTTCCGGAATCGCGTTGCATAATCCACCAGGACTAACACAAAGCGATATCCCCGTGCACTCCGGTGAAATGGCCCGATGAGGTCCATACCAAGACGCTCAAAGGGAACCTCAATGAGTGGTAAGGGGCGCAAAGGCGCTCTTGGGATGGCTGGTTGGTTCACCAACTGGCATTCAGGGCAAGATGCACACCAGCAGCGTACATCTCCCCTAATGCCAGGCCATTATCCGGTC